TTGTTGTTTTTTTTTCGGATATTCGCGGAAAACTACACAATGGCTATCTGCATTAGCCGTCTTTGATTTTGAGCTGATAGACTAGAGTGAGAAGCACTCACCAGCAGTCATCGCCAACTCGTAGTTTACTTTAATAGAGTGGTGGGATTTTACGCTATTGTTACAACGCACTTGCAAGCACAAAGTGCAGAGTGTGATTTTGCAGTAAAAAGAACCATGGATTCACAGTCTGCCACGCTAACTACTAGTTCACGAACGGCACATTTGAAAATACAGTAATAAACTTCAGACACAGAAGTCTTATGTTCTTAAAGAATATGTAATCAAATTTTGAGATTTGTGTTATTCTTTCCATGTGTTCATGAGTTTTCAGTTATAAGAGTGAGTTCTATGTCATCTATAACGTTTAAATTACTTTAAAGTCATCACGTAATCGCTAGCTAGAAATTTTATTATCCCATATATATACATTTGTATATATATGTGTGTGTGTGTGTGTGTGTATCTGTATATATACGTATATGTATAGAAAAAGTAGTCCGAGAAACGTGAGGAAAACCAAAAAGCATTTGATTTGTGAAAATATTGCGTGTTCAAAATTTGCTTTCCTATTGAATCGAAATGAAAATTTTGAAAGTTGTCATCCATTAAGAATTTAATGAAATATACAGGTGGACCCCGCTTTACGAAAGGGTTACGCTCCCGAAAAATCTTTCGCAGAGTGAAATTTCGTAAAACGAGGTAGTTTTTCCCATTGATTACAATTATATAATTGAAGATACGTTCTGATCGAAAAAAACAAACCAAAACATAATAACCTGACATTGAAGATATTTTAATGATAGTTTTTGGGGTAAACAAAGAATACAAGCCATTGATAAGTTTAATAAATCCAAATTAAGTACTGTACATACAAGAAAGTTTAGTGGTTGACACATAAGGTGATGGTATGGGTGGAGGGCCTTGTACGATGTTACTGGCTGGTAGGAGAAGGGGCAGAATGAACTTCTGCATCACAGTCATCATCGTGGGCTGCAGGAGGACTGGCAAGAGGATCCATTGGAGCAGGTGAGTCAACATCTTCCTCATCACTTGGCAGTGTTGATGGTAGTTCATCAACAAAGATTGGGGCAGAAGGATCTGATTTGCAGCCAACTTCTTGAGCAGGAGAAACCACTGGAGCTGGAGTGTTAACATCATTGTAATGACTAGGAAGAGATGCTGCAGGAAGCAGTGATGCAGACTTTATTGGCTGAAGAATGCTGTTAATGTTGTTTGCTTAGCACGCTTACTTATTTCTTTATAAAATTATTTATACGAGGTTAGGGCACTTTCAATATTGCGTTCAAGTTTAAGGCTTCGATCACAATTTGGATCA